TGTTACGTCGACTCCAATGTTACGACTCCAATGTTACGTCGACTCACATGTAATACACCTAGAATAGGCTCACATGTAATGTCGACAAATATGAAACATCGACTCACCTGCATTTTGCATATCAGCTCTCTCTATATATATAGTATATGTACACGAGAAACCTGTCCAATGCGACACTCGATAAGATCTTCTTACACTTTGCTTGGATTTGACAGGTTGCCAGAATACAAAAGATTTGATTGGTATTTTTTTTAAATCAAATCGGATTACAGCTGTGTTTCGGATATCACAGGGTTGGATAAGACTATCGATCACTGTATATGAATTGACAGCGTATTGCTTGTTTAATATAAATGTTCCGTTCTTGTGAATACTAAGAGAATTAATTTGAAGATGTGCTTGATAATGCCACAGATATCACACACACTGTTGTTATGTTGATTATTCTTGCTACCAAGAACCGTTGTTAGTTTTATAATGTTTGTTCCTCAGATATGATCTAACAAACCTAAAACGGTGACATGAATAGCATATCGATTAAATGTATTGTCTTTGCCAAACTAGACAAAATGAATTGAATTCGAATAATAAAAGTAGCCCCGACTAAATGTTTTACCTAAACTGTAGGCTGAACATGATTAAAATCCATGGATGAAGTAACACATTTCTTTTATATTTTAATTATCAGATCTATATAAGCACAAAATTAGTCTTAAGATTTAACTTGAATACCCCCTTTATTTACAACCCCACCCACCCACTAGGATTACCGACGAAATAAATGTATGATGCAGTGCTATTCAATTTTGGTATTGTTTCTATAACAAAATTTCCTAGTTGCAATCATGTGTGTTTGTCTCACATTCATCTTTCAGTATATCAATCTCGCCAATGTTAGAGTCGCGGGTACTCAATGCATTATCTTTAAAATTATTTATCGTAACACTATAATATATCGTCCTTCCAAGATAGTAAATCATGTATTCCATTTATTTATAATCAAATAACTATATAGGTCTGGTGAGATGTAACAGCAGTAAAAAGTAAAAACAATAAAATATGTTATTTTTTGCTAGGCAATCTGCCCCTTTGTCAACACAAAGTACAAGATAGTTACTTAAATCTGACGTTTATGTTAAGAATATCCATTTGGCCGGCTGAAAGGATACATTTCGACTTCAGCTTCAGGTTTCCTGATCAAAGTAATTGTCAGCACTCTAGTTGTAACAATGTTCTTTTTTCCTTATAAATGTGAAAAAGATATATTTCTATATAAAATATAATAATAAAAGCATTAAAATGCACATAGAAGATATATAGATAACTTTTAACTAAACAATCGAGTTTTTATGATATTATATGAATTTACACACCAGAATCAATGCGATACTAGATATTTAACACATAGGTTTAGTTTACGGACATCATCAATGTTCCATTCCATATACACATTGTCTTGAT